TACTGTCCGGTATCAACCCCAGGGTTCGCTCCACTTAGCGTCTGCGCTCTTTGCCCTTAAGGGTAAGGCGTGTATTGCACTCCCGTCTTGTATGGTCATGGTATCATCTGTCTCGTTTGGTATCCTTCTTCTAAATACCAGATGGATGGATGCCCGGAAAACTTTGGGGTCGACGACACACCACACGCTCACGCTCACGCTCTCTCTGCTCTTCCTCTCCCTCTCTCTCTCTCCCTCCGTGCCGCCGGGCCTAGCTTGCTCGATCACGGTTCTTCACTATCACAAAACCAACCTCCCTTCCCCCACCCCCTTCTCTCTCTCACTCTCACACACACACACTCTCTCTCTTTCTCCAATTTCTCAGCCCGTTTGGTGGAGATTGACACTGGGATGAGAGAGTTGTGTGTGTGCGCGCGTATACCACACCTCAATTCTCGCCCGTGTCCTTGAATTACATCTAATAAGCCATGAAAATAAATAATAAAAAAGCATATCATTTCTTATCTAAGATAACCGCCCATTATAACTACTATGCAAAGCATCCGGCCATCCCGAATTCGTGATGTTCATCATGTGCAACCCAAATCTGGCGAATCGCCCTCGGGAACAAAACCTGTATGACCTTGGGTCAGCTCGACCAGCCACCCGCCATTGGTTCAGCTGGATTTTCTTTGGTTTATTTTGCGAATCATGGTTTTACATTAACCAGAGGGATTATGCTACTGGCTTCGATTTGCACATCGCTGTCTTTCATCATTTCTTCTTTCTTACTTTTTTTTTTTTTTTCCCCTACTTGCGTTGCCCCCACCCCGGATGGAAAAGCAGTAATAGAGATTATTCTTCTTACGTAGGATTTCGTGCTAGGCCTTAGAAAATGAAAGAATAAGGTAAAACGGCTCGATGCGCAACAAACGCAAATGCCACCTCAAGACGCGAAGCATAAAAACAGGGAACGGGCTGAATGAAGTAGACAGGTAGGATTGGAGAAAGATTGAGATGAAGTTCAAACTCAGAAGAAAAAGAAAGGAAAGGAAAACAAGCGCCGTGCTATCACACAGACTGACACTTTACTAATGCACAATGCAGTTTCTCGCCATGGAATCACATTGTGTTTCTACGCAGGAAGCGCGGCTCGATTCTTGCTTTTCTTACGTACGCGTTGATACACCCAAACGTCAGCGGAGTCAATCGAAGCCACGGCCAGCCTCGGTTATATGACCAATCTAGGTAAGACTCCCTAGGACTCTCCATTTCCCTGTGGCAGGTAGATAGCGAGCAAATATCAGCCGGTGCGGAATGAGCGACATTGATGTCTTAGGCTCAGCACAGTAATTATTGGTGGTTCTCCGCATTAATTGAAGAAGGGTAAAGTCACAGCGGCCAGTCTCCTAGGATTGCAGAAGAATATTTGCCGTTCAATTCATTTCCCGAGATTGCGACCAGTGTGAGCTGCTTACTTACTTTTAACGGGACTAAATAAAGCATCAATACAGTACTAAGATATATATTTACTATATCGATCGCATCCGACATCCATCACTTGATACACTACATCGTGTAAATTTCCTGGATACTATTAAACCTCTGCTATTTACTACAATGGTTGTAACTAGTACAAACATTGGAAAAAGTAATGAAGCGACTCTATCACTCTTCGTAGTATTTCGGAAGTCATCAATTCTTTAGTATGGAGCACTCCATGTTCGTCACCGGCCGAAGTTACCTGACTTGCTTATCCCACGAAGTCAAATGGACTTACGGCGTCCTCTCATTAAATATTAGCGTTATTAGATTTACACAGTGAAGATGTAATCTTACCCAGATGTATGAGTAGCCTACCGCAGATTGAATACTGCGGATTGGGCCGCCTGATTTATTTCTTTTCTTTTTCTTTTTATTTTTTATTTTTCAGGTCAAAGTTGAACAGGTATCCATGTCTCATTCGGTGTATTGATGGACTAAGCCATTGAGTCTACTTAACTTTACGCATCACCGAGAGAAAAAGCAGGCGATTAATATTTGACCGTCACAGTAGATTAGATCGATAAAATTTACCACAGTATTATTACTGAAGTCTTAAGTTGTATGTTGCACAAGAAAGTCTTGTAGACGCTACTAAAATCAAGGGCCTTGCACGTGTCGTAGCCATGACGAAAGTCTTTTTGTCTTCCAAGATACGGACTTCTTATCCATCCTGCAGCCAAAAGGTTGCCAGGAAGTACAAAACGAAGGTAGAAGGCGGATCTATATAGTAGTTCACTATTAACAATGTGTTCCCTTCTTGAAGACCGACCGGCACGATGGCAAAGCAGATTGGGTGTCGATCTGTTCCACTCCACGTGTTGAAGCTTGACCGCTTGGGTCTTCGGATGGAGACTCGTCAGTCTCAAAACTCATTTGGGCAGCTCAATAACCTTGCATCAATTGGATCATCTCATCAAGGTAGACCTTTGATTATGTTTTCTGTCGAAGCGATAAATTCTCCAGAATGTCAGGTTATATAGCAGCAAGAATCTTCAATAGATTTGTTTCATTTCTCCTGCTTTCTCACCTCAATGGACTGCACGGAAGGCGGCAAGTATCGGCCTTGTCCAGATACAGCCCATCGCGTATGCGGACGGTTCAAACATACATGGGACGGAAACGCGATTACGGCATGGACATGGAACGTCCGTAATTTGGGTCGGTCGAACTCTCTCAGCACTGACTGTCATGGGGGAAGCTCGAGCCATCTGACGTCAAAGTCAACTAGCCTTTCCCCGCCACACCGCTCCTCGTCGACATTTCAGTATGATTTCAAAATTCTTTCTATCGCCTCCACCAGGCTCGTTTTGATGGGCAATGTTACAGGAATGCGTCGGCAATCCGATCTAGAAGGATATTCTTATCTCTGTCGCTCACAGATGTTGTTTTAGCTTAATCTATGCTTTCTTAAAGGCCAATCACGTATTTATTGCGTTAATTCTTCCTTGGTCTTTCTGTAAAGTTGTAGTTGTATCGGAAGGCAGCCCGGTCCGTGGAAGTACCATTTCACAGGGATGGAGTAGGATGCCTAAGGCACTTACAGGCGCCGAGGCTTTGTGAAGGTCCCACTAACCATTCTATCGGAACCTCTATCTAGTATCTACATCCTCATCAACGAATGAACTCGCTTGCTTCCCGTCGACTGATAGGGCTACCTTCATGGCAACTCATACGTCTCATGTATGATGAACATGCTTCAAGCAATATATCTTCTCATCAATTTCATGTGCTACAAGGTAACCTCTCTCAGCGTATAGGCGGCTACCTTGATGTGTATATCGTCCAACCTGGTAAGCGTTGGTTTCGAGATCATGCTCCTATGGAGTAAGTATCGCTCGTTTGTTTGATATATTCTGACTTTCTGCTCTACTAGTTTAAATCATGTGTTTGGATGACTTGCAGCCCAAGGGCACATTGAAGAAAGATATCGACCGATTTTCTTCGTGGCAGGAATTGCCCACAGGATTCCTATTGCAACCCCATACGGGTGAGCTTAGTGTTGCACTAAGCGCACCAGGAATATGTATGACCTTTCAGTCAGATATTTTCTATCAGTATGTAAATCATTTTGATGCACTCGATGTGACAGCTAACGATTTCAAGTGACATAGACTTGGTCAATCCCTACTACAAGCTTACTGATCCGTACATGAACCTCAATATCCTAGGGCCTAAGATCATCTTCCACATTGGTCCTAGGGTATGGGGGAGTATCCGGAACATGAGAGACCTAGGGTAGCATTCGGAGCCCCCATTATCTCGTACGCGCCATAACTGACTTTGGGAGAGCAGCTTTACTGATACAACAGCAGGGGAGGGTTGCAAGCGTACTTCATCCTTGGCAATACAAACGGGTTGCTTGAGGGGGAAAAAAACACCAACAAGGTACGGTTATCGACTCTTACTGAAAGATTGCTGTCATGATGATCACGGGGCATACCTGTGCTCCGCCAACAGCTCAAGGGCATTTACACCCTTATTGAAACGTCCTGCGACATGCTCTCACAAGAAAGTCTGTGAACGTCATTCACCTCCATGGGATACATATTCACTGAAACAGTCATGTGCAGATCTCATGATACCGCTTGCTCGGTTGTTATCCGAGGTATAAAAGCATTCTCAGCATTAACCGGTGACTGATCAATCGAATAAAGAACCGAAGATGGGACGCAAGGAGCAGCAGATTCTTCATGGGATTTGGTTGCATCGGGGTCGTAAGTATCAAAGTCCGTCGCAAAGCGCGGGGCTTTACGATAGCTGTCGTCCCCTGACCTTACGTTCTGTGCCGTCCCATCCATAAGATCAGCGGCTACGCTGTGGAAGACGTGGCTTACGGAGCTTGCCTAGGCCAGTTGACGCTACCTGTGGACTGAATACCTGTTACAGGTTCTCGAATGAAACCAATCTTACGCCAACCCAAGTTGTCTCATCTATGCAGTGGAGGCCTCAGAGCACGACCTGTGAACACTCAAAAGGCCCCTTACACATTGCTATCATCAGACCGATGTCATAACATCACACAGCGAATGGCCAGGTTAAACGGCGGTAGCCCTGGCCTTTGCAAGGGGCAAAGGAATGGGCAGGAAGACCTCGTCGAGTGCGAGCACCCAATAAGACATCCGTACGCCCTCTCGCTCCTCAATAGGGCAATTTCTCAATGTGACGGATGCTGCTACTGCACCTCGTTAATTGGCTACCGTGGCCTTGATTCAAACCAGGCTATGCAGTCTCGGTCCTTTTGGGGCGTATTCCTGCGTTACGATCTGTCACCACCGGCTCTTCTGGAAACCCCATTAGGCAGGCCAGAAATTGATAGCAATTTGTTTTTCAGATTAAATCCAGTGCGCCAATTTCTTGTCACATGGATGGCCACCTCCCAAGACGCTGTATTTCGTGATTCTCTCTGAGCTGGCGTTCGCATTTCATGACACTTGTCGGAAACCCCGAGATTACAGATTGCTCTAATTCACTCACTAAACAGATTCCTTTGTGATAATTTAATCACTCATCCATCTCGATTACCTGCTGATAACAGGGCAGGCTCCCACATTCTCGCGTATCGCTCTGTAAGATTCGATAGGTATACGTTCTTTGCGTCTCATGCACAACAAGTATGACAGACAAAGTACCCACGGCTTAGAGAACACAAAATTGTCGCACACTAGAGAATCGACATCATGTCAGTATCAAGTAATAAACAGCACACTAATGCTGAAGTCAAAAAGAGAGCGGGAGAGTGTCCGTCGCCATTCCCAGTGCTGAGCGCAGCCGGCAGATGAAACAAGAGAAAAATCATATCAACCCTGTGACAAGGAACTTCCAGACAGACACTCCCGCCTGAAATAACTTTATCTCATTCAAGAAAAAAGGATTTTAACGTCAATTATTCTGCGGGACAAGCGAGAGTCTCTTTTTAATGTACACTGGCAGTAGGAAGACTGGTGGTTCCCTCCCGAAACCCTCCCAGTTGGGCACTTAGGTACCCATGTACCTTTCTACCTATGAGATACATATTCGATGTCCCATGTACACCCGTTAACAAAGGATTGGCCATGATTGGGTACCAACGCGGTCTCTCGTCATAAGTTCATTGACACCGATACTTGCCGCTGGCTACATGGCCAAGTCTTACAGGTCCATCTTCCGGTCCACCGCAGACTGCCAGTTGTTCGTGCAGTCCTTGACCAAAACCTACCCACCACCACCATCACCGAATATACTAGGCTATCCCGTCGTCCGGCGCTCGCTATAAATTGCTCAGCAGTATCGAAATACTTTTTTGACCAGGTTTGGTGGCAGATTACTGTCGGCCATAATGGGATGATATAATATCGCAACAGCCATGGACATATCCCAAAACCTTGGCGAGAGAAAAAGGTTAACACTCAATCATTTAGTTTCCCCGACACGCGGACTTCACACAAAACCGTGGCTTCGCGCGTGACATCCTGAGACAAACGCAAACGCATCAGAACAAAATTAAAATCTAAAGTCAGAATTCTACCCCTCCCAAAATGGCGTCGATTTTTCATGCCAGATACAGCGCGATTGGAGCTGTGGCAGTGCTCCGGGATCAACTGGGGATTTCATGGCCGCCTGTGCTATACTACTACTAAGCGATGTCAGCAGGGTTCCGGGTAGCTGCTCCTCGTGTATGCAGATAGGCCGATTGGGCTTCCATCCGCACTTGGTTTTCCGGCCGTGGAAAGTTTATACCGATTAATAATAAATGGGTGATGCCCGAAGAACTTTCGATAATGCGGGGTATTTCAAAGATGGGCCATGCAAACGCGCCTGGTCGGGATGGATATTATAACTACTGTGTGGGTGAATGAGAAGGAATCTGGATGGGCTGGTCAAATGGAGAAGAGGTTTTTTTAGTGCTCTAGGAGCTGGACTGGCCAGAGGCTTCGATATGGGAAGCAAATGGCCAAGCAATCATATTCTTGGCTCGTTGTGTGGGAATGCTGGCCAGACAAGAAAATGTGGCTTTTCTTCGAGCTCATATACTTTATCTATATGACAGCGGATATGTACCATGGCTCTGGAAGAGGGGAGGCAGACTTGTGTTGGAGAGCGGACCAGGCTATAAACTGGTGCCATAGAGAACCCCCGGTAGTTATATAAACTGTAGCGAAGGATGACGATAGCCGGCATAGATGTTCCACATTTGATGCTTGGATCTATGAAATCCTATCTACTATGTGTGAAGTAGACTACCAACACACTGGCCCTGCTAGCTAGTGGATGGATTCCCTGGACCCGGGCGGAGAAGCTTGCTGCAACACCATCACCGGGGGCCTATTGCAGAGCGACTGCTTCTGAACCATGAGATCGATCAGACACTTTATGTCCTATGAAGCGAATCAGGAGCTCGAGCAGACCGATGGAGAAGAGTGTGCCTGCATAACAGTGCAGGGTGAATGAGGACCTAGAGGGAGCATCCACTCAGTGGCAGGAAAGGGAAAAAGATGCTTGATGAGTCCGGAGTAAATATCGGGATTGCTGATTGGCTGGCAGAGACACGGGATTGCTTACGTGATCCACCTCGAACCCGCCCTTTCGATCCCTCATGTGGCTTTTCCCCGTGCTTGGGGCAAGGAGAGCGAGAGCGACCGAGTCGGCCTATCTTCCGCCTCCTCTTTCCAATCCCTTCACTTTTCCTCGACGCAGACGATCCTGGCAGCCTCTTGGACCGGTCTGGTTGCGCTACAGACGACCGTCAACTCCCACCGCTCCCGTTATCATCGTGATTTCACCCCTTAGAACGCGCCGGATTGTCCGCCCGCAGAACCCCCCCGATATACATGACGTCTTTGTTGACATCCGTTTCAGACCGTCAATTCGCCAGTAACACTTTACTACAATAACTCAACTAGCATTGAAACAAGTACCGCAAACCAGGAACACATCAGCTTGCACTATCCGATAGGGCGGCGCTCCTCGTAGCGTTCGCGACTCGCGTTTTCCGCTGGTGTCGGTTCACCCCCTTGCGATTCTTCTTTCGAACACGCGGAACCAGGCGATCGGACCCAGGTGTATGGGGAGGAAGCAACCATGGCTGGTGGAGGAAACATCAAGGTGGTGGTGCGAGTGCGGCCTTTCAACAGCAGAGGTGAGTCACTTGTGGCATTGGCAATGCGACCAAGCCCCTCTCCTAGACTGGACTGACCCCCGTGTCTTCTTCCCGCATTCTAGAAATCGACCGTGGTGCAAAATGTATTGTTCAGATGAAAGACAACCAAACCGTCCTTTCCACTCCACCGGGCGCGGATGATAAAGCCCGCAAGGCTGGTGGAGGGAAAGGCGCGGATGGAGGACCCAAGTCATTCGCCTTCGACAGATCGTATTGGTCTTTCGACAAGAATGCCCCAAATTATGCGAGCCAGGATAACCTGTTTCTCGACCTGGGTGTACCGCTATTAGACAATGCCTTCCAGGGTTACAATAACTGTATCTTCGCCTACGGTCAGACGGGTTCCGGAAAATCGTATTCGATGATGGGTTACGGCAAAGAGTACGGTGTGATTCCGAGAATTTGTCAGGATATGTTCGAGCGCATTCATTCAATCCAGCAAGACAAGAACCTCGGCTGTACGGTGGAAGTGTCATATCTTGAAATCTACAATGAGAGAGTCCGTGATTTGCTCAACCCTTCGAATAAGGGCAATTTAAAGGTTCGCGAGCATCCGTCGACTGGTCCCTACGTCGAGGACCTGGCCAAGCTTGTAGTGCGCTCTTTTGAGGAGATCGAGAATTTGATGGACGAGGGTAACAAGGCTAGAACGGTTGCTGCCACAAACATGAACGAGACGTCCAGTCGTTCCCATGCCGTGTTTACCTTGACCCTCACACAGAAGCGCCATGACGCGGAGACGTCTATGGATACGGAGAAGGTGTCGCGCATTAGTTTAGTCGATCTTGCAGGTTCGGAAAGAGCAAATTCTACTGGCGCGACCGGTGCGAGACTGAAGGAGGGTGCGGAAATTAACCGTTCGCTGTCGACCCTTGGTCGTGTCATTGCCGCTCTCGCTGACGTGGCGGCTGGCAAAAAGAAGAACGCATCAATGGTTCCATATCGTGATTCCATTTTGACATGGTTGCTAAAGGACTCGTTGGGAGGTAACTCCATGACAGCGATGATTGCTGCTATTTCGCCCGCCGACATCAACTTTGAGGAGACTCTCAGTACTCTCCGTTATGCAGACTCGGCGAAGCGAATCAAGAATCATGCCGTTGTGAACGAAGACCCCAACGCACGAATGATTAGAGAGTTAAAGGAGGAGTTGGCCCAACTCCGGTCGAAACTTGGTGGTGGTGCCGCAGGTCCTGGAGCAGGCAGCGCTGCTGGTGCTATACCAGCAGAAGAATATTACCCTCCAGATACCCCCCTAGAGAAGCAACTCGTCTCTATACAACAGCCGGATGGTTCGATCACCAAAGTTAGCAAGGCTGAAATCGTCGAACAGCTGAACCAGAGCGAGAAGCTTTACAAAGATCTGAATCAAACTTGGGAGGAGAAGCTGGCAAAGACTGAAGAGATTCACAAAGAGCGAGAGTCTGCTCTGGAGGAACTTGGTATCAGCATCGAGAAAGGTTTCATCGGATTGAGCACGCCGAAGAAGATGCCACATTTGGTCAATCTGAGCGACGACCCGCTGCTAGCTGAGTGTCTCGTTTACAACATCAAGCCGGGAACCACCATAGTCGGAAACATGGACCAGGGCAGCCATGTTGAAATAAGATTGAACGGCTCGAAAATTTTAGACGATCATTGTAGGTTTGAGAACGTGGACAATGTTGTCACCATTATCCCCACCGAAGGCGCAGCGGTCATGGTGAATGGATTGCGAATCGATAAACCGAAGCGACTCAAGAGTGGGTTCCGCATTATCCTGGGTGATTTCCATATCTTCCGTTTCAATCACCCCCAGGAAGCGCGTGCTGAACGAGTTGAACAAAGCTTGCTGCGTCATTCCGTCACCACAAGTCAACTGGGCTCACCCGCGCCCAATAAAACCCACGATCGAACCCTGAGTAAGACAGGCTCGGAGGTGGACGGCGATTCGAGCAGAGCAGATTCCCCGATGCCCTCCCAGCGCGGTAGGGAATCTGATTGGTTTTATGCTCGCCGTGAAGCCGTCAGTGCGGTGCTGGGGCCCGATCAAATCTCCCATATGCCTGACGATGAGCTAGACGCCTTGTTTGAGGATGTACAGAAAGTACGGGCAACTCGTCGTGGGCTGATGGAGAACGAGGAAGACTCTGACTCGCTCAGTTCGTTCCCAGTGCGGGATAAGTACATGTCCAACGGAACGATTGATAATTTCTCATTGGACACTGCCATTACGATGCCTGGAACTCCGCATCCGAATGATGAGAATGACGGGCAGAATGGGGGAGAAGCTACACTGCAATCGGTGCGTCAGGATATGCAGCGCCAGTTGGACCGACAAAAGGAGGAGTATCAGGACAAGTTAAGGAATGCCGAGGCCTCTTCCACCCAGGGTGTCGATGACCTACGCTCCGAAAAGGCTCGAATGGAGGAAGCCCTGCGAACTGCAAAGGAAGAATTCGAAGAGCAACTGAAAAAGCAGAAAGAGGCTTTTGAGTCTCACATGAAGGATCTAGGCCAACCAGTACCCAAAATCTACGAGAATGGTTTTGCCAAGCTGGATGACAGAGAGCTTGAAGTCGCTAAAACAGTCTACCGCCACTGGTCTCAGCAAAACTACGTTCGCATGGCCGAGAAAGTGCTCCAGCATGCGTCTTTGTTGAAGGAGGCCCAAGTGATGAGCCACATAATGGACAAGAATGTCGTGTTTCAGTTTGCGATCATTGACCACGGGCATAACATGGCCTCGTCCTACGACCTTGTACTGAATGGTATCTCTGGAGACGAGGATGTTGTTCTAGATGAGGCCAAGAAACCCTGTGTCGCAGTTCGTGTGATTGATTTCAAGCAATGTGTCATCCACCTATGGTCTATCGAGAAGCTCCAACGCCGTGTTCAGGCTATGCGGCAATTGCACCAATATATCGACCGGCCAGACTACATCCAGCATTTCAAGCTTGAAAACCCCTTCTCGGAGCCGTGCTCGCCTCAATATTCGCTGGTTGGTGACGCCGATATCCCTCTCACGGCTGTCTTTGAGACCCGAGTCCAAGACGTTTCAGTTGAAGTTACCTCGCCATATACACAAAATGTCATAGGCATTATTAGGCTGTCATTAGAGCCCTCCTCGGCTCAGGCGCCTTCGTCTACTCTCAAGTTCAATGTCGTGATGCGGGATATGGTTGGCTTCGCTGAATGGGAAGGGTCGGACGTCCACGCGCAATTGTTTGTACCCGGAATCTCTGACGAAGGGGGAGCTACGACTACTCAAATGATTACGGGCTTCGATGAATCACCTGTGCGGTTTGAGAGCGTTCATAGTATGAGTTTGCCGCTGTCAAGTCCACGGACGGCAGCACTAAAGATCTGTGTTTACGCAAAGGTGACACAAATGCATTTGGACAAGCTCCTTAGCTGGGATGACATGCGTGACTCTGCAGAGCCGGCTCCCAAGAAACGCAAAACGCCGCGTATTGCGGAGACGGAGTTCTATTCCGAAGAGAGACATGATGTTTTCGCCAGGGCGCAGGTGCTCGAATTAGCCGAGTCCGGTGAATATCTTCCAGTCGAGGTGGTCCAGAGCAACAGCCTCGATGCAGGCACGTATCAGCTCCATCAGGGTTTGCAGCGGCGGGTCCTGGTGAATCTAACTTACAGCTCAACTGAAAGCCTGCCGTGGGACAATATTACCAATATCCGCGTGGGGTCAGTGCGATTGCTAGATCCTTGGGGCAAGATCCCTGATCAGGACTTGCAGACGCCAGACGTTGCGCTGAAGTTCGTCCAGGAGCCGAACGTGAAGGAAAACGCCGATGGGACGTCAAACATCACCATCATAGGTCAATGGGACTCCAGCTTACACGGGTCTCTCTTGCTAGATCGGGTCACTGCAGACAAGTATCGTGTCCAGGTGACACTCCGATGGGATTTGTTGTCTTCCCGTCTGCAGGATCCCGTCCCCTTTGAGATAGACCTGACCCTCCAGATTCAAGGCCGAACTTACGTTCGACCTCAGTCCATGTTCAAGCAATTCTTCAATTCAACGCGAATTGTGCACTCCACAGTTCGCATGTTCTCTCTAGTCGTCCGTCCAGTGTCCGCCAAACGTGCGGCTGATCTCTGGCGGATGAACACACAGAACGACTATGTGAAGGGCGAAGAGCTCCTTATTACCTGGGCTCCCCGCAAAGTCTCACTTGTCCGTGATTATATAGCCGCTCGCAAACGAAGGCGACGTGTTGCCGAGTTAAATGCAGCTAAAGGGGCTTTGAGTGCCAACAGCCTTGTTGCGTCGCCTCCACGCAGCGGACGGTCAACCCCCCTCCGTAGCCAGGAGCGTGCTGACCGCAGGGCTAAGTTGCTTCAGAAGTACGTCGACCTTTGGGGGAAAAAGACCGATCCTATCGAGGCAATCCTGGTCCGAAGCAACACCGAGCCGCCTGCAGGAGGGGCGGCCTTTGCCTCGCGGGCGAAGCAATCATCTTCAAGCGATGATGGAAGCTCGGTTCAGGACGAGGCATCATTGAAGCCGCGGTTTGTTGCCAGCGTTCAAGCTCTTCCGAAGAATGATTCATCTTTGAAGTCTGGCTATCTCTTAACCCCCGATGATACCAACAGCCACTGGGTACGGCGTTTTGTTGAGCTTCGTCGTCCATATCTCCACATCTATTCTGTTCCTGACGGTGATGAGATCAACGCTATCAACCTGCGCAATTCCCGAGTTGATCATGCACCCGACTTCGCACGGCTCCTCGATGGCCCAGGAGCAGCCGGGTCTGACCGGGGGTCTCCACGGGGTCGTCCGAATGTCTTTGCAGTGTACGGGGCACAAAACACGTTCCTGTTTGCGGCCCGAACCGAGGCCCAGAAAGTGGAATGGATCCTGAAGATCGATGAAAGTTACTTCAGCAGCCCTGGTGCCAGAGCAATGGCAAACCACAATGCGTGAAGTTCATGTCTGCCTTTACAGCAGTGACCCAGCAAGCGTCTTCCCCGCCTGTTGAACAGGTCTCATGGAGATCCGTGATGTGACTCTACCCTTAACCCTCCGTTTTCCGACCCTGCATATAGTACCCTCCCGGTGGCTGTTAGCATTTGTTTTCAACCATACATTTAGATTCTACCGTTTATTCCTTTTTATCGCGTTTCCGATTGGCAGGCCTGGTGTTCCTTCGTTGAGCCATGACACACATCTCTTTCCACTCCACACCCGTTCTTGATTGATTTTGAGATACCCCTGAATAAATTTGCCTCTTATGGCCTCCATCAACTCCCATGTACATACATTTTTTTGGAAAAATTTTCAACTATAGATACAGATACACACCAGCCTGCATGCCGTGATACAAGAAAGGGAGGGCTCAGCGTGTCCGCAGGCGGGCAGTAGGTCACTTATCTGTTGATGATTATTCTTGGAGAGTGAGATAATTAAAAATATATATACAAATTGTTGACTGTCTTGTTGTATCATGTTAGAACTATGGTATAGCATCTCGAGACTGAAATGGACACCTGCTTGGTATCTCCATGAGCGAGCGGGAGGCCGAAATCTCTTCGCTTCTGCAGGCACCCATCGGTCTCTTCTTTCACCAGTCTCGCATGATCAACAAATGCCTCTACGCTTAGTTTGTCTCTGGCTTCGCAAATCCATTACTGGGCATTATCACCGTCGAACCATTTGTCTCCATCTGCTTCTCTATCCGTTGCTATTCGCTTCCATCGCCACGACAACCCAACACCAACTTCACGCTCATATCTCAAGAAACAGGAGAAGCCACCTGGGCGATTACTGCTACCGTGACAATATAATTAATTGAGTGACAGTGTTCTAGAGTGCAGACAGAAGGCTCGCAGGCATAGAGTCAGGTTGAGACTGATGGTATTGGGCGTTCGTTGCCATGGCGACGGCGCTTACAGCGACTACCTCAATATCCCGCCCGATGACTAGTAGTTAACTACTCCTGTCTACCACAGTACATGCACTGATCATCGCAGAGGTACCAAGTGGCAGTACCAAAAGGGATGCAGTAATGCAATTACTACAATGCCAGTCGTCAGGCTTCCGATTCATAGCCACCGGGGCCATTCTCTCCCTGATCATAACAACATTCCTTATCTTCAGCACACAATATTCCAATGACGTCGCCAAGTATGCCCTGAAGTCGTCCCTCAAGACAGCCCCGCAGACGTGCTTGAACACCTCGCCATCAGAAGCAAGTAATGGTACGACATGGGAATTTGTTGTCGAGCGCGATGGCGACAATCATGGACTTTCAGATGAGCAATGTCGCCTCGCGTTTCCGAAGCTGTTTGTTGAGCTGGACAAATCTGCGTCGCTGAGGGAAGGCCATCGCATTACTTTTAAGGAGTTGGATAGTCTGCAAGTGGAGGATGGGATGGTGCGGGGTATTGTTCATCATGGTGAGGTATGTTGGAACCTGAATCATCTACGATGGTTGATGTGTCTTCTAACAACGACTTGATGCGATATAGCTGTATGTAGTAGATTTTGGCGCAATGCCCGCGACATTCACCCGCGGGGAAGCAACATTACATGCGCTTCATCGTGCACTCGCTTCGTTCCCAGACCGAAGCAGTCTGCCGGATATTGAATTCGTCCTGACGACGGAGGATTATAGCACTAATGAGGGACCAGTTTGGTCTTATTCCAAACAGGACGAGCAGGAGAATGTCTGGTTAATGCCCGACTTCGGATACTGGTCGTGGCCGGAGGTTAAGATTGGCCCCTACAAGGATATTCGCCGCCGCATTGCTGCAGTCGACGACGGTGAAGTGACTATTGATGGGGGGTCCACACCGGGGTTACCATTCCAGGACAAGAAGAAGCAGCTCGCCTGGAGAGGTAGTGTTGCTACGAACCCCGAGATCCGGGGAAAGTTGTTGAAGGCAGCGCAGGGTAGGAGCTGGGCAAGCATCCGGGTAATTGACTGGGATAATGAGAATGATGTCCGATTTAACCTCCTTCCGATGGAAGATTACTGCCAGTATATGTTCCTGGCACATGCAGAAGGACGCAGCTTCTCAGGGCGCGGGAAGTATCTTCTGAATTGTCGTTCTGTGGTGGTTTCGCATAAGCTGGTCTGGCGCGAGGCACACCATGCTGCGCTCATTGCGTCCGGGCCGGAGGCAAATTATGTTGAGGTCGAGCGTGACTTTTCGGATCTCGATCGGAAGATGGAATTCCTTATTGATAATCCGGAGACTGCGCAACGCATTGCGGAGAATTCTGTGAAGACGTTTCGGGATCGGTATTTGACTCCTGCTGCAGAGTCGTGCTACTGGAGGCAATTGATTCGACAGTATGCTGCATCGTGCGAGTATGAGCCCGTCTTGTATACGCGGGAAAATGGCAAGAGACAGCCTCGTGGTGTGCCGTTTGAAAGTTGGGTTCTTACAGGATTCTAGATGTCTGTTCTATGTGCATGTTATGGCGTTAGTGGGTGTATATATGTGAGGTTCTTAGCGCTTATGACTTATATGAGAAGGACGTGGATAGTCAGTTATGAGAAGAAATGATGACTTTTGTAACAATTAGCATCTCAGGGTGTTTGGTTCAGTGTGAGAGAAACTGCAAAAATGCCGCTGTAGCTGGAAAGGGACTAGGCGCAGCTGACCATCACGACTTCATTCTTCCACCTTCGCCTCCTTCACTTCATCTTATGGCATCATCCCGCATGTCAACCCAACAGATCCCTCCAAGAAATACATCTGCCCGATATTCCTGCATCAAAGTCACGGCAACTCCGGTGTGAGTAGGAATCTCAAGCACGACTGGAGTCTTCGTATCCGAGACTACCCGCAGGATCTCACCTCTCACTGGCTCTCCATTATCTGGAGTAAGTTGCACGCTACCCGATGCCGATCTTTGAAGTCATCGTACTTGAAGAAGACCCTTGCTAATACTAATCGGGCTTCCCCACGCTTCCATGAAGAGTTAGTGAGGGATATAGTTTCCCACCACCAAGCCCCTCCCGGGATCTGAGACGGCCACGAGAATCCGCCCATGAGCCGTTTTGTGATCAATTCCTTCAATCGGGTACTCGTGCGGGGTAAGTCGAGGGAAGATTTTAGGATTCGGTGAAAAGACAGGATCTCACGAGGCCCACTTGTTCACCTGATGGGAACACGAGGTAGCCCTGCAGATCTCCCTGTACATCGGGTCTCAAGGGCCCAAGAGGCTCAACCCTTGGACCAATCAGTTGAATGCCGACCGTTCACTGTTCACCGACTAAGTTGATTTCCTTGTACATCATGGAAATCATGGAAAGAAACTATTGCCCTAAATGAGGCAGATCATTGATAATCTTAAGGAGTATTGTTAGGGTGTTCTTCGCCGGAATAAGCGGTCAAATGTGACGTTTCGGGTAGGTATCACCTTCTTCAGGCAAGGGACGAGGCGCAGCGGTTGCCATCGTATCTGAGATTTCTGGAAAGCCCAGTACAAAGCGGTACATGGCATCGCTAAATCCTTGGCCTCTACACGTTGCATGTGAAGGGTGGAAGCTGAGGTGCTACGTTGAGACCTACCCCGGCCGTTAAGGTTGGGACTTGAAAGAGCACCCGATGTATGGCCTCCCGGCTAAGAAACCTACCCAGACTTGGCGGACAGCCAACAAAGGGCACCAGATAGCACACACACGACAGATATTCCTCTTGCCATGTGTCTGGTGTTTTCTGGGTAAATCCACTGGCTGGGTTACTCGGCATGAAGTAGGTGAGCGAACGGGAGAAATGCTGGGTCATGCAGCACCGAACAACTCCCCATGTGCCATCCATCTGGGCATAAACTGGAGGATGGAAATGGTCAAGGGTGTGAGAAAGCACCAATGAACCGGTTTATATGAAGACAGTTGCACTTGTGCTAAGCGTCGAATACGGGTCCTGGCCTTCAGTATCGGCCCTGAAAGAGATCTTGTTACAAGGTTTGGGATGCCGTGTCCCAAAAATTCGATCCATGGGAACAACTTCGGTAGCGGCTGAAGCCAATAGCTGCCTCCACGTCCCTACCAGGAACAGGAAGATCGAGTCATGGTGAGGAGGGGCCCCCAGCCATGCATCATGCAGTAAGATCAGGCTAGGAAGAATTATGCAGTCGGTTTAGAAAATCTACGGGCAATTGTGTCAGCCTGCTTGAAGCACAACAGTTCACTCCAAGGTCGATGGCATGATCATACTCTCACCCCCTTGATGATCAATGCTGCCCTTGCGTCTCCGCCTCAACCGGCTCTAATACTAATGTTCCTGGAAGAATCGACTAGGATAATCATGTTTTATCCGAGCATAATTACTCAATGAAGTGGGTCCATCCCCAGATGATCGAATGAACACTAACGAAGCTAGTAGGTTATTCAGAGGCCCAATTGTTGTTGCTGCGCCGAGGCAAATGGCCAAGCTACTACCGTTTTCGTCTCATCCAATGCCAACCGATATATCGCACTCGCTCGGTTGGGTTAACATGTCACTATGGACTGCCTGTCAAAGCGAGTCATCCCTCCAATTCTAAATACTCTGTCCCAGTGACCGAGTGCAAGTTCAGTGGCATCTATTGGCCCATAAATCCAGAGGCAGCCTTGCGGCACTTGCATGAAGGGAGAGCACTCAATCACCGCCACATCAGTCATTAAAGATGCCAAGTCAATACAATATTTTCCGCTAGCTCACCTGGATGATCCACTAAATTCCGAATATGCATATAGGCGCATCTCAAGTCCATGCTAGCACCTGCCCTAGGCCAATTCCAGCTGGATGATGTATCCCGTCCCCAGACCAGCAGACCAGATTCCCTCCCGCAAGCACTGGGCATCAAATGATCGATACTCTTGTACAGAATGGGGAATAGCACTTCATCCATCATTCAAAGCGGTCATCCACACATGGGTGGGCCCTGCTTACTGCCCAGCTCAGAACGCTCAGATATAAAGCAACGACGCCTCATCCCAGTGTATAGTAGCATTGCCTAATACCTTTCATCGCACCTGTATATAACAGCAACCCCCCTTACCCCAACCGAGCCTGCAGACTCCTTACAGTAACACTTACTACTACATGTTTCTTTCCCAAATAACCACCCTAACTGAGACAACATAATGTGGACCCATCTACCATCCCTCTGTGCCCTAGGCCTCACGCTAATCACATCTGTGATAACCTCACCCATTGAAATCCGAGCCACCGGACCCTGGCTAGCCCTTGACACGGACTTCCCAGACCCCGGCTTCGTCCAAGCCGACGACGGCACCTGGTACGCCTTCGGGACGAACGGCAACAACCGCACGGTGCAAGTAGCCAAGTCCGCAGACTTCAAAACATGGACCCTCCTCGACAAAGAAGCCCTCCCCACTTTAGCAGGCTGGGAGACCCAAATTGACCACTGGGCCCCAGACGTAGTCCGCCGTGTACATTCCCCATCCCATCCCATCCCCTTCCCCCAAATCCAAACTAACCACCACCACCACCCCCAGAACGACGGCAAATACGTCCTCTACTACAGCGGCGAAGCACAACAAATGCTCCGCCACCACTGCATCGGCACCGCAGTCTCAGAATCCACCGATCCCAGCGGGCCCTACATCCCAAACCCAACCCCCCTCTCCTGCCGTCTCGACCAAGGCGGCAGCATCGACGCGTCCGGCTTCCTAGACAAAGACGGCTCACGCTACGTCGTGTTCAAAGTGGACGGCAACAGCATCGGCAACGGCGGGGACTGCAACAACGGCATTGCGCCATTGAAACCCACCCCGATTCTTCTCCAAAAAGTAGATACGGACGGGTTTACCCCCGTCGGCGACGCGGTGCAGATCCTGGACCGCGATGATAGCGACGGGCCGTTGGTGGAGGCCCCGAATTTGATTCTGCATGGGGACACGTACTTTTTGTTTTACTCGACGCATTGCTATACGGATGAGAAGTATGATGTGCGGTGGGCGACGGCGAGTGAGATTACGGGTCCGTATACGAAGACGGGGAGGCAGTTGGTGAAATCTGGGGATTATGGGCTTGTTTCGCCGGGGGGTGGGACGGTTTGTGGGTGTGGGGATCGCATGCTGTTTCATGGGTTTTGTGGTGATAATAGGTGTATGTACGCGGCTGAGGTGAGGATTGCGGGGACGGAGGTGGAGTTTGTTTAGGTTGTTAGTAGTTCAATGTGAGGGTTTGGTGGGTTGTGGGTGGTGTTGGGAGTTTTGGGTTCTGGATGGGTGTTTGTGTTTGATATTTGTTAGATACCACGTTCGTTTTCGGATTGATATTGGTGGCTTGGAAGGGTTATTTATTGTCCTGGATTTTGTGTGAATCTGTATATCTTCTACATGGTAATGAGGTCATGCATATCATTCATATTAGTTAGTAAGTTTCTTTAAGAGTAGGGTGGGGTATCTCTACTATCTATAATCATCATCGTAACCCACAGAAATGAGCAGAACAGAAGATCTATTTCTTCCCATTCTCAGCCTTCTCCTTCCTCTCCTTTCTCACCTTCTCTGTCCGCTCCAACCACCCCCCAATCCCTGCAATCGCACCCTCCGGATCATCCTTATAATTCAACAGATAGCCCTGCACCTCCGCAGCAGTGAATTCCCCAGCAGGGATACCAGCTGCGAAATCCTTCGCCAACCTGACAATCTTATCCGAAACAGGGGGCCGTTCTTCCATTCCATCACCAATGGTTGTTTTCTTGACACCATTGGCTTTGCCGTCGTGGCTGGTGATGGCATCCTTCCTCCTGTTAGGAGACACAGAGCGCAAGTCACCCTCAAGCGTGGAGTAAATCGACGAGAACAGCTCCCGGATGTCTTGGGAATGAGCGTATCCGAAAGTGATGGTCATGTCTACGCGGCCGGGACGGAGGAGCGCAGCATCGAGTTTCTCCGGATGGTTGGTAGTCATGATGAGAATGCGGCCTTCACTTGCTGCGACGCCATCGATTACGTTGAGCAGACCGGAGAGGGTGATGCCTTTGTTATCAGTGGTCTCCTCAGAGGGCTTCTTATCTGTGGAGGAACCGGCGGGAGTGTTGGTGGCAGTGTTGGGAGCAGCGGCTGGGTTGGTATTGGCGTTGTTGGGGTCGCTCTTGTTTTTGTCGTCTTGAGTGCTGTTGGCCGCGCGCTTGGAGGTCATTCCGGCACAGTCAATATCTTCAAGGAGGACGATGCAGCGTCGAGGGAGGTCTTGGAATAGAGACATCAAGTCGTCTTCGTCCAGACTCTTGGAGCTGAGGTTCAGTAGGTATAGAGGCAGACCGAGGAGCCCTGATGCTGCAAAGCAGAGACTGGTCTTTCCTGTCCCGGGAGGACCGTGGAGGAGATAACCCCGTCGGTAAGGGATGCCTCGGTTGGAGTACCATCTCCTCGTGCGGGGGTGGAGGTATTCCTTGATGTCTTTGATGAAAGACTGCTTCTGGGCTGGGTCTAGTACGACGGTGGAGAGAGGTCTGGGGTGGCGTGCCATGCAGCGCACCCAGTCCGTGTATCCGCCATTTTTTTGGCCGCGGTAGATTACTGTGCTGTTTCCGTCTCTTGCTACCCATGCCCTTTGAGCTTCGGCGAGCAGTTCCTTCAGGATAGTGGGATCACGACCGAAACATGAGATGAAAAGTCTCTCAGGCACGTATCGCATGTAGGAGATAGTGTTGTTGTTTTCCTCTTTGGCACGAGTGAAGGTAAGAAGACGACCGCGGAACCAGAAATAATGGCTTCCTTCGGCTGGAGTGAAGCGCAGGCGCTTGAACTTGTCCCGTGCGACGGTTTTGGCCCAGTAGTCGTCGAAGTCGGAGACGACGTTGCCATTCTCATCGTATTCATCTTCGTCGTCTAGATCACCCTCGTCGTCGGAGTCGTAGTATCGTGCGCCGCTAGAGATCTTGGTGCTGGCTACGAATTGAGTGGACCGTTTCGTCGAGGGGTGTTGCGCCATCCAGAACATCAGATAGTTGTACACTTCATCCTCGAGGCGGATCTCAGCTGTTGACACACAGTAGTCACTTAACAGCTCGTGGGAGCGGGAGAACACATATCGCAGTGAAGCGACAAAAGCCACGGCTGTCAAAATCATGGGAATATATTGGGAGAGGTCGATGTGTAAATATGATATTAAAAACCGGGAGATGAAGGAGTATCCCGGAATGAACATATCCAACATCGCACTGTCGGAAGGATTCATATACTGTGAGGAAGATGTTGCGTTCATGACTGGAGTGTTGTTGATGGTGTTGCTGAGAAAGGCGCTTGAAGCCATGGTGAGAGTTTTGTAGTCGTAGGGATACGTTATATAGAGAAATCCAGCATATGCGAACAATGCCGTGGGCGTGGGATTAACCGTGTATAAACGAATCTTTAGCGGCAAACAACAATAATATGCAACTAACCGGCAGCTCTATAACAGAAAACTGGAAATAAACGTTGAAGGAAAAAAATGCAATTAATTGGCCTGGATGAAAAGGCTTTTCATTGTCAAGAATGAGCTCTTCCTTTATAGTTCTATCCCAGCCATGATGCGCCAGGCAGGAAGGCTGACAAGCCGTGGCATCGTGGGGTTGGTAGGCATCCATCTGCGCCGAGCGGTAGGCACAGGATCTAGAGCGAGTCTCTGACCCATCGTGTAGGCCAGTGTGTAACTGACGAACCGCGCCCAACGAAGGAAGTGACTGGCGCAGTGGAATGCGCAGCTGACGGGGAGCCACTTGAGTCATCGCCATAAGCAGGCGGGCGCCAATCCCGGCAACTCACCCGGCGATCGTGGGTTTCTCCCTTTTCAGCCGCATCCCCATCTTCCTCTCGGAGAAACACCCCCCCCCCCTGCGAGCCAATGATGTCTTTCTTGTATTCAATCGTAGTCTGTAAAATCCAAATGTGGGTATCTTGATTATGACGTATTAATGGGTTATGGCCCCCCTTCCTTTAAACCAAAAAAAGCCGCGCCTCGCAGAATAACCAACAGTAAGAGCACCAGAAAGCCAACAAGCAAAGAAAACAATGACATAGCCACTCGTTCTATGTCTATGATCATGATCCGGCGAAATTGTCTTTCACAGTGTCGAATATATCGGTTGCCCACTCCTTGGCTTCCTGGAGTTTGTCCCAAAGGGTCCCCCACCAGGTTGGGCCCTTCTCATCCTCGCTTTCCGGGTCAGGCTCTGGCTGAGCTTCAGGCGCCGTTTCCGTCGGGGACGCAAAAGAGGAAGTCTCTGCCGATGGCAACATCGTTGGCGTCATAGTGGCGGTCGTGCTAGAAACTGGGGGGTCTGGAACACTGGCCAGCGTGGGCGTGTCTTCGTCAGAGTGAAGGCCTATCGTCTTGAGAGGGAGGCGCATGGTCCCATTGTTCGGGTGCGCGGTGATCCCGAGTGAGTCGCAAATAATGTTGTACACATTGACGTTTTCTACATTGGTTAGCTCAAATCCAACCCCGTGCGAAAAAAGGGTCATGGATGACTCACGAAATGCTTCCAAGCGACTGTTTGGTTCATGGGGGAATGCGGGTCCCCTGGCGATGAAAATTGCCCGCATCAAGGGGTGCTCGTGGTCGTAACCATGAATGCCTCTGGGGTGATATATCTCCCCATTCTCCAAGGCCTTCTGGACGTCAAAGTCGACACGCTCGACGACCGCCCATCCTGTCTTTGGAATTACCCAGAGAGGGGCGATGCGATCATTGTTTTGGAAGTGATACCGTTCAGGCATGCCCTCACGCGTGTAGATCTCGACCGCATGCGAATAGTTCGCGGCCACGCTCTCCAACTGAGCTTGGAGAACTTGGAAATCCTCTGGTCGTTTGGGACGCAGCCCGCGTAACGGCCACCCGTCGATGCGCTGGACTAGATCAATATCGATCAGATCCTCCAACTGAACCAATCGCTCGGTCGCGGTTGTCGCCATGCCATGGTCGGAGACAATCACAATGTTCACGACATCCGTTAGATTGCGTGCTTCGATACCGGAAAATAGGCTGCCAAGCATATCGTCGACCCTGGCGATTGTGTTGCGAGTTTCAGTGCTGTTAGGGCCATAGTTATGTCCATCTGCATCAACATTCGGGACATAGGCAGCGATAAACTGAGGTCTCTGTGGCGCAATGTCTGACTCGGCTTCTACTCCAGGCATATCCAATAGTCCCAAGATGCGTTCCACTTTCAAGGAAAGCATTTCGGACCCATTGTATTGGTCGAGGTAGGTTGGATCTACGCCTCCAATATGTGCCTCGGAGCCCGGCCACATATGGACAGCGGTCCTCACGCCCTGATTCTCGGCCGTCATCCACAGAGGTTCTGCGTTCCACCATTTTGGTTGCATGCTGACCGACGGGTGGGTATAATAGAACTCTTCCTGCAACTCTGGGTCCCAGAAAGTATTTCCAACAATTCCGTGGCTCTCAGGATACAGTCCCGTAACGAGTGTAAAATGATTCGGGAAGGTCACGCTTGGAAAACTGGGTAACATGTACTGCGGCGAGACGCCATTTGCAATGAATGAGCGGAGGGTTGGTGTCAAGCCACGAGTGAGAAAGTCCGCTCGAAAACCATCTAGAGAAATCAAGATCGTCGTAGGTGCGAACAAAGCAGTGCCATTAGATAGAAGTTGCCTCGAGGTATGGGGGGCGCGATACTTCGTAGATGCTTTATATGCGCCTAGTAAGAAGATAAGGAGAAGGACAACGATAGCGGAAAATACGAGCGCGAGTCTGCGCCATGAAACACGCCGTGGCTGGTTACCAAGATGTCAGTACCGGAGCTCCGGCAAAGCCAATAAACCCATGAGAGGTTGCCATGTGACATTCATACCTGCATAAAGGCATATTCTTTGACCCGTGTGTCGAAGTCGGACGAGGATGCGCTCAGGAGAGAGTGCTCATCATCCCGGTGACCCTCTTCCATCTCAAACATTATCTCTCCGGATCCACGTGCCTGCCTACGGCGCTCCTTGCGGGCCTCTCTTCTGGCCTGTTGGCGTTGTCGCCTGCGCTCCTGCTTCCCAATTCGAACGCTACTGCTGCTGGGGCTGAAGATGCGGCGAAGGCCATGAGTTGGACCGGTGCGGGTAAGCAGTTTCTCCGTTTCTTCTTCCTCATCCAGTACTGTGCGATCATGTTCGGCAAGTTCTAATGTGGTGCGTGATCTCCTAAGAAATTCGTCGTCCTCCGAGTCAGAGTCCTGCTCTGACGGGGAGCGGAGCGACTCGGCATCTTCGTCATAGTCGCCGGGAGACAGAAGGGAGGAAGTGGGAATGTTGCGTCGGAGAGGCATGAGTGACGGGCGGTGGCATCAGGCCGGAGTGCAGAGGCACGGAGGAGAAACCGACCGACCTTGGAGCCGGTATGGCGACACGTATGGAGTGTTGGTAGGGAAGATAGTGAGGAACTTGGGGATGATAAAGGATGGCGGCTTCATGGATTATTGACCTCGAGGGGGAGGCGATCGGCGGATCTCCGGGCCGGTGCCGAATGGGAACCACCGGTCCAGCTCATGTCTGTCCTCCCCCACACCATGGATATGTTCAACTCTGTATAACTACTAGCAGGACTAGTTCTCGAGCTAACATGACATTTTGTCCCTCTTGGAGTCTGATCTATGTAAAAGCTTGACCGTCTCCTACCAACTGACATCAGCAATTCCCACGCGTCGTCAACTCTCCGCCGCTCTGTCAAAGGGGTCCTGGGGGAGACCAGTGGCCTCTATTATGCTTGAAGCTTCACAAAGAAGTTCTCCTCCAAGGCGTTGGCATACCCTAGCTTGAAGATAACTGGCTAATTTGACAAGTAAAGCTATTATGTCTTCATCATGACAGCTTGCATTGGGTGATCAGCGGAAGAACAGAACTACAAACGTGCTATCGAGCAATCAGAAAGCACAGACGAATAAGGGGAGGTTGGCTTGCACAGGCAGGAGCCTTAAACGAACTGTCCTTGTTCAAAGACTGGCAGTGCCTGTACATCGCCCAGTCCAGCATCGGTAGCACTGAAAGTTGCGGTCGCAACAATGTCCCCGATGATTGACCACTTAGGCTTTCAGTGACTAACAAAAGACGATTGAGTCACTAGTCGAGAGACAATCAGAATTCGCTAGATTGAACTGCTAGACTGCTAATCGATCGACATTTAGGTGTGAAACATCCGATGGCACATTACTTGCGAAACATGCCACAGTCGAGATTGCAACGTGGTGAGGTTGACGTAGCAGGTAGCTCACAGCATCCTGGGGATGCTTTCGTCTGTTGAGACGTTGCTGCTTCCTCATTGCACTTCCTAAATGCGTTCGACGATACTATTCTCTTCGCAGGGCTAGAGATCATTGAAGAATGGATCAACATTCCTCTGGCTGGCTGATTCCGGCCACTCGACTTCCCTTTTGGGAACCCCTGGGGTGGCAGCCACAAGTCACATGACGTTGGGAAGAGCCCCAATTGGATCTGCTACCAGCAGGAGTAGTCTATCTAGATCCGGGTGGCTGTCAATGCTTTGGGTAGCAGCTGTGCTATTTTGAGATTCAATCTGTTCGATCTAGTCCGGAAGCAGTGCCTAGCTTCCCACGTTCGTTTCCACACTACGGCATCCGGATCCCTAAACCTCTTGCGATTCGTGGATGGCACCATGAAGAAGCACTTGTCCCGGAGTTTAAACCGACTGTCAAGCAATGATGGTAGTACCGGAATGGTACCTCAAGCAAAGCTATAAAGAACCTCGAGATCCAGCTCGATCCGTCTGCGTTGCCATGCTTCATTCTCTACCTTTCAATCTTTCTTCTTGACGCTAAGTTTTGCTACTTGTACCGCGATAGATCTCTTTCTTCCGTTCTCTCAAAACTCCTCCATTCACAATGCGTTACTCAACCCACGTTGTGACCGCTCTGGCCTTCGCAGTCGGCGCTGCCCACGCAAGCCAGTCTGCTAGTGACGACGGCCAAGTGACCACAGTGGTCGCCCAAAGTACCGTCGAAACCACCGCCGTCGTCACCGCGCAGCCCAGCAGTGCTGAATCTCAACCTACTGAATCCAGCGTCCAGCACCCGCCTCCCATTGCCGCATCCAGTGCCCCGGAGTCCAGCCCCACAGCTTCTGGTTCCTCCGAGACAAGTGTCCCAGTCATCAAGACCAGTGCTGCCGAGACTCAGCCCGCTGCCACTGGCTCCAGCGCTCCAGTGGTCACCAACACTGTGCCCGCCGCTATTGGATCCAGCGCCCCGGCTACCCAGGGGATTGGCACCGCTGCTCAACCGAGCGTCCCGCTCATCAAGACCTCCGCAGCGGAGACACCGGCCGCTCAAACGAGTGCCCCGGCTGCTGTCAACCCTAGCGTCCCACCAGCACCGGTCGAGTCGAACCCCGCCGTGACCAGTGCACCTGCTGCCAGCATCCCCCCGGCCGCCAGTAGCAACGCCAGCACCACATCGCAGCGGTTCTCCAACTCGACCACCTCTTCAGGGTCCTTTGCTACCAGCACCTCCGGAGGCGGCGGCGAGGGCGGCGGCAACGGCGGTGCTACTGTTCCTGCACCTACCTCCACGGGATTCATCTCGTCCAGCTCTGGTGCCAAGATGGTTCTTCCCGGCCTTGCTCTCGTCGGCAGCATCGCCATGGGCCTGCTTGTCCTGGCTTAAATGACGCTACTGTCTCTCTTCTGATTTTACCTTCGATATCATGCATCACTAGACTGCTTGATGGCAAGACCACCGCTCCGAAACCGATACAAAAAATACAATACAACGAAGTGGGCAGGTTTATTACACCCAGAAACTCTTTAAAAACTAATACTATTGACGAGAAGTGGATCGCTTCGCTCACTTATGATACATTTCTATTTGCTTGTTTGTTCCAGGTGTCCTTCACAATACAATTAATATATGCTCTCGTTGATTCCGATATTGTACTCTGGTCAAAAACCAGATTGTCGCTTCGTTGGAATCGAATTTCTAGAGGTATATACGGCGTTTTATCTTGTTTCCGGTCTGAACTTTTGTTTCCTTTCTGGGTTCTGGAGTACTCAGGTATATGGATTGTGTATTAGACTCGGTAAATTCATTTATCATCAATAATAGGGAAAGAAATGACATTTGCGTCTATTGTAGTGGTATATTATACTGCATCTGCACCGTAAGCTTACTTATCATCTTCGAGTCATTACTTCCCATACAGATGCAACCATGCATATATGCATATATGCAATCATCAACCAAGACAACTAAAGCTGACATGTCATTCCTCTTTTCGTTCCAACTTGGGAAGTCATATCCTTTTCATCCTACCATCAACCCCTCATGAACTCGATACCCAATTCGCCCACTTACAGGAACACCCTCCACTTCCCCCATCAACGCCCCCATAATCCCCCGTAGCGTCCGTCGACGAATTACCATATAAGTCGAAAATCCCCGGGGCCGGATTTACCAGCGTCCCACCGTACGATCGATCCTCAAGCTGCAACTTGACTTCCGTTGAGTTGATCTGCTCGCCGCTCTCCATGCCATAACAGTAGACCATTTTTTCTTTAGCGTCTCCTCCATGGCGGTCTAGAGTTATGGTGACAGGGTAAGGAAAGGATCCGGGCCGGGTCCAGTCATTCGCGGAGGAAGGCGTTGTCGTGGCTGTTGCTGTTGCTGTTGATGCAGTTGCTGATGCAGTGGACGTGGCCGTTGCATTCTCCAGGAGTGTGTCGTTGGAGCGCGTCCAGATTTGGACGAGGAAGCGGGTCTGGGACCAGGTGCAGCGGACGCGGGCGTCAGATTCGTTGGATCCGCCGTTTCGGTCGTTGGGGTTTGTGTCGGTTGTGTTGCCGTCGAGGGGGGCTCGGGAGGAGAGGAAGATGGAGCGGTCGAAGTAGGTATAAAAGCCGTAGTGTTCTGTGTTGAGGCCGCGGTTGTAGAGACGGACTGGTTGGGAGGAGGGCATTGGGTATAGATCTGCGGCGGCGGCGGTTCCGTCGGAATCTTCGTCTGGGGAGGGGATAATTGTTGCGAGGTTAGGGAAGGAGCTGTCGGAGGATCTTCGCGCCAGGCGAAGGGTGGATGTGGATGTTAGGGTGCTGGTTGAGAGGAAGGTCATGTAGAAGGGGGTTTCCTCGCCAGCGTAGGGGACGGTGTTGTTGTCTGTTGTGTTGCCAAGGAAGGTCTGGTCTTTCATGCTTGGTGGGGATGGGGATGGACTGTAGGGGTTGTCGGAGCTCCGTGAGGAGAGGGTTTTGCTGGATCGTGAGGCAATTGTGGTGCTGTTAGGGTAGGTGCCGTTGCGGAATCGTATTTCCACGCGGAAGTTCGGCTCATTGGCCGCGTAGGACTTGTTGGCGGATTGTTCCTCTGGTGGTAGAGCACAGCTCCAAAGGGTGGATGGAGTTATGCATCCTGACTGCTGTACCTGAGGCTTTGGTCCGGCAATTGTTGCGATACCAGTGGGCATCGGTGGATAGCCGGTGAGGTTGAGCCACTGTGACTCCACTGGAGTTGAGTCGCCTTTTCCTGTCAAGGTCATGACTAGAAGGAGGATAATCGCTATGATTATGAGGAAGGACGTGAGGATAGCTAGGTACCACCGACGTTTGACCTTCTTGTCCTTGTCTTTCCTACCGAAACAGCCATTTTTATGAGACCGGTTACCACCGCAACAGCAACAGCAGAACAACAAGCCAAACTTCTTTTTCTTCTTCTTCTTGTCTTCTGTCTCTAACGTTTTCCGTCGTATCTCAATTATCTCTCTCTCTGTGGTGGTATGTGTCATTCCCTCTTGTGGGAGTGGATGAGGCTCCATGCGAGGCATAGAGCTAGTGTAGTGGGAAGTATATGTAGGCGCTGGGGTCGAGGAGCTATTGTGGTTGGATGTATATGCAGGAGCCGGGGTAGTATGCATGTCAGATAGCGGAATTGAGCCACCCCTCACGGTGGCTTGTTGGAGGCCAGGAGACGTAGGGTTAGGGGGCTGTGGTTCAGGCTGTGGTTCAGTCTGTTGTTCTTGAGGAAATGCTGGATGCTGGTGCCCATGGGGTGCTATGAGAATCGGCGATGGGACAGTAGCAGGATGAACATGGAAGGTCTGAGTTGGAGGGGCAGGTTGAGCAACCGGTTGAGGAGCTTGCACTATTATTGGTTGAATGGCTGGCTGAGGTGCTGGCTGCGGTGCTGGTTGAACGACTGGCTGGATAATTGGCTGAAAGATAGGCCAAGACGTCTTCCTTTCGCTTTGACTGTTTGGAGGCGGTGCTAATTCTCCTGTTTCTCCTCCGGCATGTGATGTTGGAAAGGCTTCCTGAGGCAATTCCCGTGACCCTTCATCAGGAATAGGCTGATTTGGATTGTTGTCGACTGGAGGTTGACCAGCCGGAGGGTGTTCACTCGGGGGATGTTCGCTAGGAGGATGTTCGCTAGGAGGATGTTCGCTAGGAGGATGTTCGCTAGGAGGATGTTCGCTAGGAGGATGTTCGCTAGGAGGATGTTCGCTAGGAGGATGTTCGCTAGGAGAGTGCTCGGTCGGAGGATACTCGCTCAGAGGACGCAGGGTGGGAGGAGGTTGGATCGTTGGATGCTCAGACGGAGGTACCCCCCTCGAGCTAGCTTTTCCAACCGGATCATCGTCCTGAAGATTGTCAAGGGTGGCCTCTACTCCCTTATCCATTACACTCGGTTCATACACAGTGCGTGGCTCCGAAGTAGTGGGAACAGCTCTCAAGCCAGGAATTTCGTTTTGTGGCATGTCCCCAACGTCAATCAGAAGACTCCTGTTATCTGAGGAACCCACAACTGTACCCTCGGTATAGCCGGGAATCTTGTCCTTGGGTGTTATAGAGCAGACATGGTTGACGCATTCAAAGTACGGCCGTCCGCTGAACAATTCGTGTGCGCAGGCTTGGTAGTATTCAGCCGCAGAGCCCTGGATTGGCCTTCCCGGGAACATAAAGGATGTGGCATTTCGCTCTCGTTCGACAGGTTGGTCTTGAATACTCAGTCTTTTCTCATCAAAGGGGTTCAAACTAGCATCTGTCCAGTCAGGTGACAATTCCTTATGATGAGGTATGATGGCTTCTGGCGTATCGGGCGAGAAGCTGGATACTTCCTTTTCCCACCACTCGTCACTCGATTCCCTTGACTCCGTTGCGATGCTGGGAACTGGTGGTCTGGCAGCCTCAGTTTGGGTGGTGGGACCCATGGCTGTGCTGTAACGACTCAGCAAAGGTGAGAGCAAGTAAGTCCACCAACCCTGTGACTGATGCCTGTTGGTTTCAGTGTTGATGCTTAACCTATCCGGAATCTTTTTGACAGTCCCGCTGGAATATGACCGAGAGCGGCTCTCCCGTCGCACGTCATCTTCTTCAAACAGAGTGCCAGCCGAGAGGGAGCGTTGTCTCCCTGCTGCGGATACAAATTGCCTTTGTGTAGAGTCAGTGTTCATATTCGTGCTCGGGTTCTCATTATGCGCCAAAAAGGCATAATTAGGAATAGCAGGCACAGGTGGAATGTCAAGGTCGCTGTCATTTTCATCGGGATACGGCGTTGGTTGAGAGTAGATGCTAGACGCTATCCTAGGACGAGGATGAGTCGTGTCAAGGCCTGTCCAAAATGTGTCTTCCTTGGCCGGAGTCACAATTATCGAGGGAGTCAGTGCCGCTCGTTGGGCATGGCCAGTATTTACTGTTAGCCCTCTTCCTTGAGTACTTAACGATTCATCAGATGGCATGCTTAGTCCAATCATAATCGGTCGATCGGATGGCGACAGGTCGTCGTTTCCCTTCTTTTTCCGCCTGATGTTGAAGTAAGATAGTCGTTTGTTGTCGAATACGGACGGTTTCCCGGGCTTTTGGTCGTAGTCCTGACCGGGGACTTTCTTCAATATCCCTTTAAGAGTATGTGCATTCCTTTCCTGTTCTCGCACCTCAGAGAGAGCCTTCAAGTCATTCAAATCCACGAGAGTCGGCACTGATCCATCTTCAGGTGCCTTTGATGTAGAGTGAGAGAAATCCGTAACCAAGCTCAACCCAAAAGGCCGTCCTGAGCTCTTCCCTGTGTAGAGCCCAAGATTGCTTAAGTCCTCTTGGTTCGGATTTGCCTGATAAGAGACCCCCGTCCCATCTACTGCTTCCTGTGACTGAGTGTGCTTATCATAACTTCCTTCACGTATGAATGGGTTATTTCTGCGTGTTGTCTTATTCAGAAAAGCAAAAGGTCGATTCCTTTCCATGTCATGGTCCTCTGGAGATGATGGCACCGGGCTCGGAATCTCCTCTGTGATCGGAGATGACAGAGGGAAAGTCGGAGCTGCAGGAATTCGTAGACCTGCCGTCGAATTCTGCATCTCGGGGGCCGTATGGCCAATGAGGCCAAAAATCTGCCTTATACTAAACCAATTCATTAGTCGGCTGGTTTCAGTAACACACCATTCAGGGGGTGGGAGTAGGCCAAGTACCGTATACGGACTGGCGCAGCAGATGAAGGTCGTTTCGGTATAGATCAAGCAAACCAGCTGCGATATTGTGAAGCCTTTCGTTGATAAACTGATGGCCTTTGATTTTGAAAGTGGGAAACAAAGGACGCTTGGGTTGCTATTGTTATGATCAAAGCATCCAGGTGAGACAATTATGAACCAGAGGGAACAATGACCTTCAGAACACAAAGCAGCCTCAACAGAACAACACGAGAACGCCAGTTGTTATTCACACATTCCCCTTTGAGAAGAATATAAGGGATACAAAGGAAATCGAATAGGCCAGAACTGTAAATTCAGGTGAACAATTCGAACACCAACTGCTGAGGTGGTAGACGTAGCACATGGACAAGGAAGGCAGCAGAGGAAAGAGGAGAGTGATGGAAAAGTCATAACACGACCAGCTGGTGCCAGGAAGAAGCCCAAGCACCCACAGGGTGCTAGAAATGAGTGGGAGAGCTCATGCATATCATGCAACAGCCATCCTTGACCTGGACACTTGCGGACCCGCATGGTCCTGGCTACTATTTGTGCAGAGTGCCAAATCCTCCGGCCTCATACAGTCGAGCAGGACGGGGGGACTCCATTGGCCAGGGTTGCTTGGATCGACTCTGCAAGATGATGTTTGGCAGATAGCTCCAGGGGTGGATTGGCTCCTGAAGAAGCCGTGGGAGCTCTGTAGCCGCCGATGGGGGGCACGCGGCGCTAACAGAAGCATATCCACGACGCCGGTGAGGTTGCAGAACTTCGCCGGGCGCCAATCAGCAGCCAAGACGCCAGGGACAAAAATAGCCTGCATCAACGCAGTCCACGGGATGCCCCAACGTAGCTCTGACCTCCTACTAACAATATCAATCACCCACGGCCGTTTGAAGCTACGATTTCATGAGATTCTCCGCTTAGTCGACTCAATCCGGAACACTACTGAGACGGCAGCTGAGGTGGAACAGGTTCTCGATCGACATCGATGTCGACCGGTATCAACCGATGCTTCGACGTTTGATTTCCAGGTATCTGTAGAGCAAAATACACATAATAAACAAACCATGGGGATATCAAAACAATGCCACACATACACTCCTTTTCCAAGCAACTAATGTTCGAGTTTCCTTTTTTGCCCTTCTTCCGTGCATACACGGTACCTTTAACAACACCGACAATACATGATGGAGGTCAAATAAACAGATTCCACGCCCCGATCTTCCGATTCTTGGGGAGAGGGGTAAAAATGGGTAGGGGTTGAATGAGTTTGGGGAGGTGGAAGCCACCATGACCCCGAGATGTAATGTAACGGGACATGACCAAGGGGGTAATATGCTGGAGAGGTGAGAAATATAGAGAAACAGGATGAGAGGTTTTTGTTACCCGCCATAGGCTAGCCAAGAATCGCTGTTGTGCCAACCAAAATGGTGGATAGGATGATGAAATAGTCAAGCAGATTGTCGCTCGAAAGGACGATAGCCACCCAAAACAAATCTACAAGCCAGAGAAAGAGAAGTCGGATACCGCGTCTAGAACGCGAGGAAATGTGGGCCGTGTCAAGTAAAGCAACCGTCACCAATGCATTCGTCATGGGCTGTGTCATGGGTAAGAATCTCGGTGGCCATCGATTAGCTACCGTCGTTCGTCGGTGTACTGCACGCCTTGCATTGGAGCAACAGTCCCGTTCATGAGCGGAGGAAGCGTTCGCGGTTGCTCTTGCTGCATCGCGGATCCAGGAGCATAACCGGAAAACATAGCGCCATGTACCTGCCCATTCGGCTGTGGCACCGTTACGGGATGATGCTCAAAGATCGACGGCTGCCGAGATTGGCCATTGGCTTGCTGCTGACTGAGTTGCGCCCGCATCTCGTCAAGTTCGCTCCTCAGCACGTCATTTTCTCTGCGAGTGGTAGTAACCATCTTTTCTAGATGTGAGATATATTCGATAGCTACAAGCACGTTAGTAAAAGAACAACGTCAACACCAGGGCTGTGCCTGCGATAGTTATGAAATACCTCTTGTGAGTGTCTCCCATTTACTCGATTTATTGTTCTGACTTTGTGGGAGGCGGACACGCAAAGCTTCGAAGCAATCCTTCATCTCACTGCGACGCTTTCGCTCCGCCAACTTGTGCGTTACCCTCAGCTCGGGAGTTCTGCTGTAAGGCGTACTACCACTATGTGCGTCTGCTTCTCCAATAAGACCACGGACTTGCTTGTGTTGTAAAGAATGATGGTGCACATTTTGAGGAAGTTCTAGAAAAAGGTCAGGAATCGTAGTTCGTATATCTTAAGGGATTCAGAAGACATACCATGCTGTCCACGAGGTAACCGTGCATCAGAGAAGACGCTACTGGCAAGTGACTCAGCAGTACTTCCTTTGCGGGAGAATTGATTGGTTGACTTTTCGGTGGTAGAAGAGACAGAATTGGATCGCGCAACGTCAGGATCCGGGAAAGCGTATGCAAGACCAGCGGTGGGTGCCTCTGCATTGTAGATTTCAGAGCGAGGATTCGACGAGATGGCAGGTGCCGTGCGGCCAGCTGCAAATCCGCGATGTTCACTAGCCCGCGGGCCAAGTGGAGAGAGTGGTTGGCCTCCAGAGTATCGAGGGCCGCGATAGGAATTGTTCATATTCACGTCCATAGAAATACCGCGCTCTCGTTGGAGACCCGAAACAATCGAGGTTTGCGAAGCATTCGTGCTATGATAAGGAGATGCGGGGTTAATGGCAAGCGAGCTGATTCCTTGGTTCATCCTGCTATCCACACTGCTCCGTCGAGACTCGGGGTGTTCCACCATACTGCCTCGTTGAGAAGGAGCATCGTAATTCTGGTTGATCGAAGGCAGGGTTGTGTTCGGCTGGGTTGACCCGAAATTGGGCGAAGGCTGCGCTCCCGCAGAGGAAGGCGTGTTGGTATTAGAGTGGTCGTTGGGGTACGGGGACCGATCCGAGACGTAGGATGCGCGATTGGGAGAAGGTTGGGACGTGAGGAAGGAGAGAGAGGGATAGTTGCCTGTCGCGTTTGTCGTGGTTGAGTAGGTAGACGACCCTAGGGGACAATCAGCCTCCGCAGGTAGGAATGAATAAGACGAAGCCTTACTGGTACTCTGAGGCATGGACCAATTCCCCGAATCTCGCTCTATCGTATTTAGGGAGGCATTCCCCGGTGACTTTTCGGCCTGGGTAGGCATGCCGCCGGCCATACTTGCTGTCAAAGTCGAAATAGATGGGAGGGTTTGGGTAGACGACACTGGGGGGGTTTGCGGTCCCGTAGTAGCGGGCTCCCAAGGTCGATGAGCAAGAGTGGTCTCCATGACAATCTGTTGACTGGTATACCTGCAATCCAGAAAGATACTAAGGAAATGGATATCAGGGAGGGGAAGGTGTTAGAAGAGACGGATTGGCGAGGAGTATTCTGATGTGTTTCGAGACCAAATGGTGTAAAAGCCAGGGTCGCTCCGCTGTCTCATGTTCAGGGATCGGCACAACACGTAATAAGACAGTGAACGTTCAAACGTTGACTGGCAATTCGATTAATGCAATATAGATTTAACCAACTGTACGTGTCCAATGGCGATCTCGTGTGGCGCGCGCAAGTATGACTATCCGAAAATCGAGGTGACTGACTGGCGCGTTGATGGGTTCTCGACGGCGATTCGCTATTCCAACTGATCCTGAAAGACCTCCAATTCTGGTGCTGAGTGACAGATCCCAGCAGGGTTGAAGACGTCTGTCTCCACCTGACAGTTTATACCGGTGAGTATAACTAGCAGGGTGGTATGCGTCAACGAACCGTCTTCACACGGTATCGACGAATCGATAGACACTGAGTCAGAAGCGAGGGCGAAAAACGCTATGCGAAAATCGTGAAGTGCGCAGTGACGTGCAGGTCGCAAAAGTATGCCCGGAAGAGGGAAAATGGAAAAACTGCCGGAGAGGAGAGGAGGGCGGAAGGAGCCGTCGTGGTGAAAGCGAGCGGAAGACGGAGGATGAGAAGGATAGGAAAGACAGGCGGACGGGAGGGATAAGTTAAGTGAAGATTAACTGGGATCGGCGAAGGAGAGAAGGTGTATGATGCAAATCGACTTTTTTTTTTCTTTCCTTCTCCCTGATAAAAAAAAAAATAAGAAGGGAAGGAGGAGAAAAGGGAACACTAAATGTTAAGTAAAGGGACAAATCGTGTCAGCTTCGGCCACATGGGGGGCTGACGGAAATTATGTACGGCAGGGCCAATGGTTCCGGGGCATGGGTTTGCGGTGCAGGACTGGATGGAGCTTACCAGATGGCGAAGGTGCAAAACGCTCGGGCGGCGCAGCGGAACGTGGCACGAGATTAAAACGACGAACAATTGGGCAGGAAGGAGTCT